TTTAACTATTGCCAGGTTGCGCATTTTTGCAGGTCAATAATTTGGCACAAATTGGAGTTAAATACAAAGGAGATTGTATATGTTATTTACTAAGAATTGTTTTTTAAAATGGCCTAGCTGTAAAATTAAACTATACAAAAAGGGGACAAAAAATTAAAATAGGAAAAATATTGATTACATATGTTGCTATTAGTAAGTGGTTTGAAAAAATTTATTTTTTTAGCCTCAATTTTGCATTACAGAATTAATTTCAATTTGTCATGTTTCTTTAGTGCATAATAAAACAAAAAACCTTTTTTTTTTTTTGTAGAAACTGTAAAGTTAAATAAGCATGGCTTATGCAGACATGTGATAGAGATAATGGAAGAAAAAATAATAATAGTGGGTTCCAAATATGATAAGCTAAACACTGTTCAATAACAACCCAGACAGCAAGCTTATATATTGGCCTAATGTAAGTTTTAACATTGGCAAGTTTATTCCGTTGGGGCAACATTTAGCCAATGATTTTTTTCGGCGTATTTTTTTCAATTCTTCAAACCTGTTTTTTGCAAATATCGTATATATTGGGCCAACATTTAGCTAATGTTTTTATTCAGGCGTAATATTGCAATTCTACAAATCGGTTTTTTACAATTATCGTACTATGTTGGGCCAATATTTAGCCAATGCTGTTTATGCTTAATATTTTGCCATAAAAATCTGTTTTTACTTTTTACCGTAGCCAATATTCGGCCAACGTAGTTTCGGATTAGTATATACTTTCGAAACATTTTTTAAAAATGTTATCGTTTGACAGAACAAAAAAAGGTTTTTGATATTATTATATATCTTTCCATTTAATTAAATTATAAAAATAAAAAAAAGAAGCTATATTTATTAATCTTTTAAAAATCTTAAAAAGTTTCTTATAAGAAGTAAATTTCAAGAGATTTTCGTGACTTAATGTTTTGTTTTTTTAAATTAAATATTTGTTAACAGTTAAATAATATGCTTAAAACATTTTTCACTACAATCTAAATTATTAATGTTATAATAAAGGCAATAATCAAATTATTTTTTTGTAAGATCTTAAAGTTATTTTTTTCTTTTTGTTGCTGTATTGGCATTTCAAATGTTTGTTTTACTTAATAATCTTTATTCAATTTAATTTATTAAGTTTTATTATTATTTTATAAAATTTATTATTATAATTTATATATGAATGAAACATTTCAAATGTTCGATTTATTTAATAAAGGAGACATTTTAAATGTCTTCTTTATTAAATAAATCAAACATTTAAAATGTCATAAAGTATAATTTTTTTTTTCATTATTTATAATAGTTTAGATTATATAGCTATTGAAAGATATATTATTAAAGGTATCAATAATATATATGTGGCATTGAAGTTGTTAGAGGCTGCTATTTTACATTTTAAATATGTCTCTTTTGTTTGATTTTTTCTGTGATTGATTATGAAACCCCATCTACTAACATATTAAAACAGTGTACAAAATGTGATGTTACTAGAACTTATATTCTACTTATGTAGAGCTTTCTAATATTCCATCTTTACGAGGCAGAGGGACATTAATCTTGCCTTAATTGTTTTTTAATTTAATATCTTTGGATATTTCATATTATGGATTTTGCATATTTAGTTGGCTCTGGATTTTTCATATTTAGTTTGCGTACAACAGTTAACAACTTTAAGCTTATACATTAACTTTAGTTATAACTTAATTAATAATGATTTGATTTATAGATTTTTAAAACAATACGAGATTGAATTTAGCATAGGGCTAAATTTCTGCTCCGGAGACAAAAAAAGAAGACAGCGAAAATGACCAGTCAAAATAAGATTGAAGAAACAAAAAATTGTGTACATCTTGGTGTAGATGATTTTTTCCTCATTTTCTTATAATAAAACAAAAATATTATTAAACTTTGGGATTTAACTGTAACTCCAAAATCTTTACAGAAGTTTAATGTTTGCTCTGAGAAATTGAATGAACAAAATTATTAAATGGTAAGTGTCTAATGATTGAAAATCTTTATTCATAGCTTTAACTTTTACAATTTTAAAAACTTTTTCATATATTACGGTCAAAAAGTCAGAGTGTTAATTAACATTTTAGTATGTAATAATCAAAATATCAAAGCTTACATCACAGGCTTTGTCAGGAAGCGGGAGCGATCGCTCTCGAATACTGACCACAGAAAATATATTTAGTTGCGAAAAACTGGCCAGGTTTTTTAGTTGTTTTGAGAACATTTAAGTTTATGAACGTAACAAAAAAATTTTGTTGGATTTTAAAGTTGGTGTCACCATTTTTGAAAACCATTTGAAATCAATGTTGAAAAAAACAACAGTATTTGTATTTATATAAGTATTCATATCAGTTTAAAGTTTTAACAGTTGCTTGTGATTCATTATCATTCATTATATAAACGTTTATTTAAATTTATCTAATAGACGAATGTAATACAATATTTTTATAGATGATATTATTTTTAAAAATAGTGTTATTAAAATTCAGAACTGAAATATGTAAAAAAAATTATTTACAAACATTGGATAAGGTACTGTACTGTACCTTGAAAATCTAGAAAATTTGTTAATACTAGCTAAAGTCGTGGAAAACCTCGAAAAGTTAGGAAAATGTTTTTTTCTTTAGATAGTCATGAAAAAATCAGTAATTCTAGTTAAGAAGTTACTCGTTTCACAAATGAACGCTATATTTTGAAAATGAGATGAGTCACTTTTTTCAAAAGTGAGGTTATTTGAAAAGAATATTTTCAAAATAATATTCTTTTCAAATAACCTCACTTAAAAAAAAAAGAATATTAAGATAAAATAAAGATTTTTTAGATAAAATAAAGATTATTTTAGATAAAGTCAAGTTTTTTTTTAGAGAAAAGAAACAATTTTTAGATAAAATAAAAATAAAATTTTTTACAGGAGAAATATTTTTCACTCCCTTGTAAAATTTTAATTTTGTGACTTGTCACATTTTCAACATACAACGCTCAATTAAGCTATGTTTTTTTTGGTGCTACCCATTTATTTTTTCTGTAATTTATGTTTTTCTTAGCGTTCATTCTTAGTCGTCATTGAAGTACAACTTGGTAAACTACAAAACACATCAAATTCAGTTATAAAAATTTGAGTAACAAAGGTATACTAATTATATTATTGCCTGAAAGAGTGTCATTGCTATTAAAAGCAGTGAAGAATTCAAGTACTCTGGAAGAAAAAAATATATGTAAGTAACTGGTAAATTTTTTTTTATAAATTTTTTATGCATTTTGTATGATATCTTAGTACAATTTATATACTTTAAATAAAATACTCATTGAAGATTTTTTGTAAATTACATTTTATATTAATTTAAGTCTAAACAAAAGCTACTTTAATTATTGCCAGGTTGTGTATTTTTGCAGGTCAATTATTTGGCACAAATCGGAGTTAAAGTCAAAGGAGATTGTATATTTTATTTGCTAAAAATAGTTTTTTAAAATGGCCTATTTGTAAAATTAAACTATGCAGGGAGAGAACAAAAAAATGGAATAGAAAAAATGTTGATAAGCATATGCTGCTATTGGTAAATGGTTGAAAAAAGTTTATTTTTTCAGTTTTAATTTTCCATTACAGAATTAACTTTAATTTGTTATGTTTTTTTGGTGCATAATTAAACAAAAAACTATTTTTTTTTGCAGAAACTGTAAAGTCAAATAAGCACGGCTTATGCAGACATGTGATAGATATAGACCCAGACAGCAAGCTTACATTGGACCAACGTTGGGCCAATGTGTGATGATGCATTGGCCCAACGTTGAAAGTCGATGTTGGCCCAATGCAGGTTTGATCATTAATAAGGTATTGGCATAACGTTGTGTATAACATTGGCCCAATGTTGTATACAACGTTAACCCAACATTGGCCCAACGTTGTATATAACGTTAGGCCAATGTTGTATACGACATTGGCCCAACGTTGTATACAAAATTGGCCTAACGTTGTATAAAACATTAGCCCAATATCGTGTGTTATACATCAGCCTAACGTTTTATGCAACATTAGATCGTTTGTACAAATAAGATAATTTAAAAAATTTTGAAAATTTATAAAGAAAAAAAAGAATGTATGATACAATATAAAAATTTATTTATTTAACATAATTGTTCAGTTATATATACATATTGCAAACACTAAACTTAAACCCAAAAATGACACATTGAGTTTTAAATAAAAAAATTCACTAAAAAATTTACAAAGTAGTTTCGATATTGGCTGAGCTACTTGTTATTGATTCGTGTTTAGCTTATGATATTTGATGCCCACGATTACTATTTTTTCTTCCGCTATCTCTATCACATGTCTGCAAAAGCCATGCCTATTTGACTTCACAGTTTCTGCAAAAAAAATAGTTGTTTTTTTTAATAATGGACCAAAGAAATTTATCCAATTAAAAGTAATTTTGTAATGCAAAATTGAAACTGAAAAAATATACTTTTCTAAATCACTTACCAATAGCAACATATCCAATCAATATTTTTCCAATTCTAATTTTTTGTCCTCTCTTTGTATAGTTTAATTTTACAGCTAGGCCATTTTAAAAAACTATTCTTAGCAAATAACATATACAATCTCCTTCGTCTTTAACTATAATTTGTGCCAAATAATTGACCTGCAAAAATACACAAACTCGCAATTATTAAAGTAACTTTTGTTTAGACTAAAATTAATATAAAATGTCATTTACAAAAAATCTTTAAAGAGTATTTTGTTTAAAGTATTTTAAATTGTACTAAAGTATCATAAAAAACGAAGTTATCATAAAAAACTGATCATAAAAAAAATATTTACTATTTACGTAAGTATTTTTTTGTCTTTTTTTTCAGGAGTACTTGAATTCTTCACTTCTTTTAACGGCAATCACACTCTTTCAGGCAATACAATACTTAGCATACCTTTGTTACTCAAATTTTTTAACTGAATTTGATGTGTTTTGTAGTTCACCAAGTTGCACTTCAATGCTTGCCCATTATGCCAATAAAACCAGCATATCTTTCAAGGATACAACTTTATCTTGAAACAATAAAGTTTATTGTATTATTATGAAACTATACAACTAACTACATATTATATTTAGAATTTATGAAAGTAAATACAACAATCACTAATAAAACAGATAAAATTAAAGACAGAGGGGTAATATTTTATTAATAAAAATATAAACTCTTTAATGGATTCATAATATTTTTATGAATTATGAAATTTGCAGGTGTGCATTTAATTTCTGGCACTGACACAAAACAATTCTCGTTAATGTTTAAGATACAAATTGCACTGTAAAACAAAAAAATTCATATTAAAAAAATGTTTTTTTAACAGGGTTTGTAGCCATCTATTTATATAAAGTTCAATAACATGAAAATCAGATGAATTTCCTTGACCACTTGAAACAATGGTTTTTACAAAATCTTTAAAATTACTATCTAATGTAATGGAAATGCTAAGATTGTACATGCTTTGAATGACAGATCTTATAAAACTTAGCTATTAATTAAGTTGGATATTAGTATAAAGCTTATTATACATTTTAGATCTTATTATTAAGGATGACTAAGAATGAACACTAAGAAAAATAAAAGTTTCAGAAAAAATAAATAGGTAGCACCGAAAAAAAATAATAGCTTAATTGAGCGCTGTATTTTGAAAATGTGACAAGTCAAAAAATTAAAATTTTATAAGAGAGTGAATAACATTTCTCCAGTAGAAAATTTCATTTTTATTTCATCTAAAAAATTTTTCTTTTATCTAAAAAAAACTTTTTAAAAAAATTTTAAAAAAATCTTTAAAACAAAAATTATTTTATCTTATAATTTTATCTTTTCCTACAAAAAAAATTCTTCTACAAAACCTCACTTTTAAAAAAAGTGTGACTCATCACGTATACAGCATTCAATTGTGAAACGAGTCATCACGTATACAGCATTCAATTGTGAAACAAGTAACTTCTTAACTAGAATTACAGATTTTTTCTGACCACCTATATAATAAAAATAATTCCCTGACTTTTCCAGGTTTTACACGACTTTAGCCAATATTGACAAATTTTCCAGATTTTCAAGGTACAGTACGGACCTTGTCCAATGTTTGTAAATAATTTTTTTACATATTTTAGTTCTGAATTTTATTAATACAATTTTTTAAAATAATATCATGTATAAAAATACTGTATTACCTTCGTCTATTAAATATATATTGCTTCATGGATAAATATAAATAAACGTTTATATAATGAATAATAATGAACCTCCAGCAAATGTTAAAACTTTAAACTGATATAAATACTCTGTTGAAATTTGAAATCCAACAAAAGTTTTTTGTTATGTTCATAAACTTAAATGTTCTCAAAACAATTTAAAAACCTGGCTAGTTTGTTGCAACTAAATAAAATTTCCATGGTCAGTATTCGAGAGTGATCGATCCTGCTTCCTGACCAAGCCTGTGGTGTAAGCTTTGATATGTTGATTACACAATAAAATGTTAATAAACACTCTAACTTTTTGCTATAATATATAAAAAGTCTTTAAAACTGTAAAAGTTAAACCTATGAAAAAAGAATTTCAATCATGAGACTTTTATATATAAACTTACCATTTAATAAATTTTGTTTATCCAACTTCTCAGAGCAAACATTGAACTTCTGCAAAGAGTTTAGAGTTACAGGTAAATTCCAAAGTTTAATAATATTTTTTGTTTAATTATAAGAAATTTAGGACAAAATCATCTACACCAAGATATACACAATTTTTTGTCTCTTTAATCTTTAATTTGGCTGGTCATTTTTGCTGTTTTCCTTTTTTGTCTACAGAGCAGAAGTTACGCCTTCTGCTAAATTCAATCTTGTATAGCTTTAAAAATCTATAATTCAAATTAATAATAATTAAGTTATAACTAAAGTTAATGTATAAGCCTAAAGTTGTTAACTGTTGTACGCAAACTAAATATGAAAAAATCCAGAGATATTAAATTAAAAAATTATAAAACCACGAATAACGTCCCTCTGCCTCAGAAAGATGAAATATAAGAAAGCTCTACATAAGTAGAATATTAATTCTAGTAACATCACTTTTTGTACACTGTTTTAATATGTTAGTAGATGGGGTTTCACAATCAAACACAGAAAAAACTAAACAAAAGAGACATTTAAAATGTAAAATATTAATCGAACATATGAAATGTTACATTTATTTAATAAAGATTATTAAATAAATCAAACATTTGAAATGTCCATACAGCAATAAAAATAAAAATATAACTTTAAGATCTTACACAAAAATAATTTGATTATTGCCTTTTTTATTACATTAACAATTTAGATTGCAGTAAAAAATTTTTTAAGCAAATTATTTAAATGTTAACAAATATTTCATTATTTAAAGAATATATATCAAGTCACGAGAATCTCTTGAAGATTATTTCTTATACGGAATCTTTTAAGTTTCTTAGAAGATTTATAAATATACCTTCTTTTTTTTTACTTTTATAATTTAAAAAAATGGAAAGATAATATTAAAACCATTTTTTATTTTGTCAAACGATACCATTTTTAAAAATATTTGCAACAAATTTAAAAGTATATATTAATCTGCAACTACATTGGCCGTATATTGGCTACGGCATATATGTTATAACATCAAAATATTAAGCATAAACTGCATTGGTCAAATCTTGGCCCAACGTAGTACGATAATTGCAAAAAATCGATTTGTAGAATTGAAATAATACGCCGGAAAAAAGCATTGGCTATATGTTGGCCTAATATAGTACGATATTTGGAAAAAACTGATTTGCAGAATTGGAAATAGTACGCCAAAAAAAACATTGGCTAAAAGTTGGCTCAACGGAATAAGCTTGCCAATGTTAAAACTTACGTTGGGCCAATGTAAGCTTGTTGTCTGTGGAAGAAGAAAAAATAATAATCGTGGGCACCAAATATCATAAGCTAAACAATATTCAATAACAAGTAACTCAGCCAATATCGAAACTACTCTATAATTTTTATAGTGAATTTTTTTTATTTAAAACTCATTGTGTCAGTTTTTTGTTTTTTGACGTTGTTCCGACATCTTATAAAAGTGTTTGCAATATGTATATTTAACCGAGAAATTATGTCAAATAGATAAATTTTTATACTTGTATCATTCATTATTATATTTCTCTATGAATTTTTAATGTAGCGATGCAAATCATCCCAGTGGGCACCCGACGTCAATCCGACGTCGGATTTACGTTTGATTTTCATCAGCGATGTCAAAAGACCTATTCCGACGTTGTTCCGATGTCAGTAAAATGACGTCGGGCGATGTCTTTATCTCAACATCCCCTGACGTCGTTTCGATGTATTTTGACGTTGTTCCGACATCTTATAAAAGACGTCCAAAAAACGTCGCAGTACTGACATCGATCCAACGTCGATAAAAAGACGTCGGGCAACGTCATAATATTAACGTACTCCGATGTCTTTTGACGTCTTCCGACGTCAATCCAACGTCCTTAAAACGACGTCGGAACAACGTCGTAAGACATCGCTGATGAAAATTTAATCTAAACCCAACAATATGTGTGCAATTGCGCTCTTCAATAATTATGTGAACTAAGCGTGTTTTTTTATTAATGGAAAAAAGTTTGAATAAAGGTTGATAAAACATCATGAGGTTTTGTATGATGCACTAGCATTGTTTTTTAACTATTAACATTTTTGAGTATACATTTTTTATAATATATAACTATTCGTTTTAATATTTATATAATATTTAAACAAAATTATTTCTTATCAAAGTAATAAATCCCAAAAAGCTACAAGTATAAATAACTAAATAAACTCATCAATTAATATGTCCTTGTGGTGTAGTGGTAAGCGCATAGAATTTAGAAACTAATAGACCAAGGTTCGATTCCTGCCACAGGCAGCGTTTTTTAGTTTTCAAAAAACACGTTGGATTTACATCAGAATGCCGACGTCGCGCGATGTCAGTTTATCCGACGTCAAATAACATTTCCATTTCGAACGTAAACCCAACGTCGATCCGACGTCGAGATCCGACGTCGCTCGACGTTCGTTCGACGTCGAAATGCCCATTGGGATCTTATTTGTAACAACAATCTAATGTTGCATAAAACGATAGGCCGATATATAACATACGATATTGGGCCAATGTTGTATACAACGTTGGACCAATGTTGTATACAACGTTGGGCCAATGTTATATACAACGTTGGGCCAATGTTAGGTAAACGTTGTATACAACATTAAGTCAATACTTAACCAATGATCAAACCTGCATATGGTCAATATTGACTTTCAACGTTGGGCCAATGCATCATCATGCGTTGGCCCAACGTTGGTCCAATGTATACAACATTGGCCCAATATCGTATGTTATATATCGGCCTAACGTTTTATGCAACATTAGATCGTTGTTACAAATAAGATGATTTGCATCGCCACATTGAAAATTAATAGACAAAAAAAAAAAAGAATGTATGATACAAGTATAGAAATTTATTTATTTCACATATTTTATCTGTTAAATATACATATTGCAAACACTAAACTTGATCCAAAATCTGATACATTGAGTTTTGAATAAAAAAATTCACTATGAAATTTATAGAGAAGTTTTGAAATTTGCTGAGCTACTTGTTATGGAATCGTGTTTAGCTTATGATATTTGGTGCCCACGATTATTATTTTTTCTTCCTCTATCTCTATTACATGTCTGCATAAGCCATGCTTATTTGACTTCACAGTTTCTGCAAAAAAAAATTGTTGTTTGTTTAATTATGCTGCAAAGAAATATAACAAATTGAAAGTAATTCTGTAATGCAAAATTGAAACTGAAAAAAAAAACTTTTCTAAACTACTAACGAATAGCAACATATGCAATCAACATTTTTTCTGTTCCAATTTTTTGTCCTCTCCCTGCATAGTTTAATTTTACAACTTAGCCACTTTAAAAAACTATTCTTAGCAAATAAAATATACAATCTCCTTTGTCTTTAACTCCGATTTGTGCTAAATAATTGATCTGCAAAAATAAACAACCTGGCAATAATAAAAGTAACTTTTGTTTAGACTTAAATTAATATAAAATGTAATTTACAAAAAATCTTTAATGAGTATTTTATTTAAAGTATATAAATTGTACTAGGTTATCATACAAAATGCACAAAAAAATTATAAAAAAATGTTTACTATTTACTTATTTATTTTCCTTTCTTCCAGAGTACTAGAATTCTTCACTGCTTTTAATAGCAATGACACTCTTTCAGGCAATACAATAATTAGTATACCTTTGTTACTCAAATTTTTATAACTGAATTTAATGTGTTTTGTAGTTTACCAAGTTGTACTTCAATGACGACTAAGAATGAGCACTAAAAAAAGCATAAGTGTTTGAAAAAATAAATAGGTAGCACCAAAAAAACATAATAGCTTAATTGAGTGTTGTATTTTATAAACGTGACAAGTCACAAATCTAAAATTTTACAAGGGAGTGAATAACGTTTCTCCTATAAAAAGTTTTATTTTTATTTTATCTAAAAATTGTTTCTTTTCTCTAAAAAAAGTCTTTATTTTATGTAAAAAAATCTTTATTTGATCCTAATATTCTTATTAGAAGATAAAATTTACTTCTTATTAGAAGATTAATAAATATAGCATCTTTATTTTTATTTTTATAATTTAGATAAATGGAAAGATATAAAATAGTATCAAAACCTTTTTTTATTTTGTCAAACGATACCATTTTTAAAAAACGTTTCGAAACAATTTAAAAGTATATGCTAATCCCAAACTACATTGGCCGAATAATGGCTACGGTATAAATGTAAAAATGGCAAAATATTAAACCTAAACTGCATTGGCCAAATAATGGCCGAACGTAGTACGATAATTGATAAAAACCAATTTGTAGAGTTGCAATATTACGCCGAAAAAAAAAACATTGGCTAAATGTTGGCCCAACGGAATAAACTTGCCTATGTTAAAACTTACATTGGGCCAATGTAAGCTTGCTGTCTGGGTCAGCCAATATCGAAATTACTCTATAAATTTTATATTGAATTTTTTTATTTGAAACGCAATGTGTCAGTTTTTAATTTGAGTTTAGTGTTTGCAATATGTATATTTAACCAAGAAATTATGTTAAATAAATAAATTTTTTATTTGTATCATACATTCTTTTTTTTCTCTATAATTTTTTAATGCCGCGATGCAAATCATCTTATTTGTTACAACGATCTAATGTTGCATAAAATATCAGGCCGATATACGATATACGATATTGGGCCAATGTTTTATACAACGTTAGGCTAATTTTGTATACAACGTTGGGCCAATGTTGTATACAATGTTGGGCTAATATTGTATATAACGTTGGGCAAATGTTGTATACAATGTTGTATATAACGTTGGGCCAATGTTGTATACAACATTGGCCTAACGTTATAAACGACGTTGGGCCAATGTTGGGTCAAAGGACCAATACCTAACCAATCATCAAACCTGCACTAGGCCAACATCGACTTTCAACGTTGGGCCAATGCATCATCATGCATTAGCCCAACGTTAGTCCAATGTAAGCTTGCTGTCTGGGATACATACCACAGTTCTTTAGCAAGCAAAAATCAACTACCAGTAAATTTAAAGTTTTGCTTTAACAAGATTCTATGCTACAATATGTCGCTTTCAATATGTAATACAATTGCTAACTAAAAACCCACAATATGAATTCAAACATTTATACATATTGCTTTAGTATTTGGTGTTTAAAGCCACCTAGCAGCTAGAGAACTAATTTAATGTAGCGGTATTGTAACAATCTTGGTACATTTTAACAACATTGCTAGCTAAAAAGTTGTAATATGTAGCTTTTAAATAGCTTTAGATATGTCGTTAGTTGTTGATAGCTCTATATAATCTGAAACTATCGATATATCGTAAAAACGTGGAGAATAATAAGCTGCAACACGTCATTAAACTAAGTCAGAGCTATAACATAGTAGAAAATAAAACTATTTGATTTTCACAGATTTAAGTTTCGTGCTGTTTCAATCAGCAGGTAAAATACAAACATAATTTGTTTGTTTAAAAATTATATACAATTGAAATTCTGCAGAAAAAAACTTATACAAAAAATTCTATAGTTACGATCACGAGTATCTAACTTTCAGGATTGTGGTTGATAATAAAAATTTATTTTCGTGACTAATACAAATTTATTTTCGTGACGTTACTTAGAAATTAACTATG